CGCGCCCGCGCTCGGGAAGGCACGCTGCGCTCCCCTCCCGCGCTCCCCTCCCTCCCTCCCCACGCTTCGGCCGCACGGAACGCGAGAGCTCCCCCTCCCTGTGGCTCTGCTCAGTCGCTTCCAGAAGGAATCGCCCCTCCCAAGCCGGGCGCTAAGGCAAACCCGGCCCGCGGGGGGTTCCCCAGTCCCTAGACGCCGAACAGCGACCCGCCATGACCCGGCCCCGGGACCGCAGCTGTCGCCCGGCCTCAACTTTGCAGCCTCGCTCCCAGGAACGGGATTTCCTTTGTAAATTTAGTACAGCGTGATCGCTGTCCGCAGCGCGAGCTCCGAGACACACAGTGTCTCTGGCTCGTGCACGCACTCGCACACTCACACTCACGCACACACACGCGTCCACACCCCGACGCCCTCCGTGCTCCGGCTGCTATTACCTCATCTTCCCCCGCATCCTCAGCTGTCCATCAAGGATGCGGAGCCACGCCCCGGATTGCTGGGGGCCGTTGCCCTGGAGCGCACACGCCCCCTGCTGGCCCAAGGCGATGTGTACCGGCCAAGGGCCACACACTGCATATTGCTCAACTCCAACTTCTGCTAATGAGACACTTTCCAAAGAGATGCAGCAATTTGGTGAATGATGGATTTATATCGGCTATGTCGAGAGCAAATGTGGTTTTCCTGGCCTGCTTTGACGTTGCTAGAGTCAAGAAGATACACGCTAAATTGATTTATTCTGCAGGGATTCTGTGACCAAAAATAATGAGACACCAGGACAGACATAGGCTAGACTTGTTTATTTTGGTCATCAACAGTTAGTGTGGAAAATAATCTGAAAGGGTAGGTTGACATCACGATTACATGTTACTATTGACCGAGAACACAAACTTTGTTTTGCTGAGTTGCAACCACATAAAACAATGAATGTATATGATTAAGATCCAGGATAGGCTATGGAAAAATGAAAAGAGATTATGTGTTAGGGACTGGGATTATGAATCTTTGTGGAGCAATTATTTCCTTCCATAATATCATACGATCTTTTGTTTGTTTGTTTTGGAAGATTGGCTTTCTCTCTCTCCTTTTCTTGTGCTTCCTTGAATCACAATGGTCCCTTCTTCATCGTTAGTATTTTCTGTATCTCTTTCATCCCTTACCTCCTTTCTCACAGAATTCCAAATCCAAAGCAAAAGAAAAAATATCATACATGCTCGTCTTCGACTCTCCAAAAGCACCAGGCTGGAGACTACCTCTGAGTTTTGTTCTTGCTGGTGGTGTCTTTGCCTAAAAAAAATCTCCCCAGCATGACCTCCAGAAACCCCAGTCCCCCTTCAGACCAGTCTCTCAATCCAACTGGATCAAGACCTTTCATTAAAACATCAAATTTTAGGGTTCGAAGAACAAAAAGAAAAGAAGTAAAGAATACTTCGATTCATCCCGCCAAGAGCCATTATTATTCCCATCCCACAAATGACAAGGCTTAGAGTATTTATGCAATTTGTCCCAAGTGGCACATTTAGCCAGAGGGGAAATTGATATTCACAACTTGGGCTCCCCGCAAAATAAATAACACGTGTTTCACGGCAAAGAGGTTTGTGCAATAACAGGCAAGGCATGTGGCAACGTAAAAGTGTCTCGGCGAGAAAGAAGGGAAAGGAGAGAATCAGGTTAGAGTATTCTGGAAGAACGGAAGTAGAATCGAGGGAAAAGGTAACCTAAAGAGAACAATTCTTACTTCTCGTCATGCGATGAGGGTATGAAGAAACTCTGGAGACTTTCTTGTGGTCTGGGTAGTGTAAATCCAGAAACTATCAGTAGTGATTTAAGGGGACGCAGGAAGTATCAGGGAGAAAACAGGACCTGACCAGCTGAAACAGAAATTCCCAGGTGGAAAAAGATAAGGCGGCAATTAACAAATGTTAGAAAGGCTGTTAGAAAGATGAATGGAAAGCAGGAAAATACTGGCTCTAACTTATGTTCAGCCTGATTTTGTGTCTGGTCTTTCTGTTGCTGCCATGTTAATCATGGCAGAGTATTACAACAGAACAAACATAAATGCTTAATAACACGCGAGAGAGTTTGCGTCTAACTTGATTCACCTGCAAGCAGGTGCTACTATTGAAATGACTTGGCATTAGTAATTAATTACAGTTGTAATGTATGTGTATTTTTGATAAGCTATGAGAATTTATAATTCATAATAACCCACTTGGCAATAATAATTTATAATTATACATCAATAGTACTAATAGTAATATATTTATATTTCTTAGATCTTTAATTTCAAATAATTTGTACCATGCCTGTAAACCTCAGACACTCCATTTTAGTATCCAAACTATACCTCTCAAATTGCCTCTTCTTCCCACTGATAATCTTTAACCAAATGATGTGTCCAAATTGTAATTTGGGATATGGCAACTATAATAAAACCTCACTAATTAAGACTGATTGAAATAAAACCAGTCTCAATTGTTCAAAGGTATATTTTGATGATACTTCAAAAAATGCCATAGTTGGTTAAACATCAAGTTTCAATGAAAAAGTCACTCTCTTCTTTTTCTGTGGACCATTCACAACAAAAGTCATCCCTCCCACCCCCCACCCAGTTACCTATTGCTCTGTAACAAACCGCCCTATAACTAATTGCTGAAAAAAGCAGCAAGCATTTCTTTTGCACATAAATATGCAATTTAAGGAGGGCTCGGGGAGGACAGCTAATCTCTGCTCCACACGGAGCTCAAGGCAGCTTGAAGATGGCTGGGGCTGGAATTATCCGCAGTCTTGCTCATCCACATGTCTAATCCTTGACGCTGACTGTCACCTGGAAACTCAGCTAGGGCTACAGCCTAAGCACCTGCCCATGGCCTTGTCTGTGTTGCTGACTGCCTCCTTCACAGCATAGAGGTAGTTCGGGTCCCAATGAATGTTACTCAAGAGAAAGAGCTGGACAGAAGCTGCATTGTCTTTTTTTTTTTAATTAAGTATTTTTGTTTCAAAATAATCATGGATTCAAGTGCAATTGTAAGAAATAAGAGAGAGATACCATGTACCCTCTTCCTCCACCTTACTCAATGGTAACATCTTATAAAGCTATACTTAAAAAACTATAACACATCACTACTGATATTGACACAGTGAAGATACAGAGTAGTTACAATTCTGCTTCTTAATTGATACAATATAATTATATCATGTATTACACAATATATGTCATTATAGTATTATTTATACATATGTTATATATTATATATGTAATACGTAACATACATAACATATGTACCTATATAACATATAGTGTATATATGTTACATTATAATAAATGTATATTGATCAATATACCTTTTGTATGCAAATGTATGCAGTATAGTTCTTATCACCACGAGGATCCATCATGTCTCTCTTTTAGAGCCACATTCGCTCCTCCTGACGTGATGGGTTACGTCACTTTTTAATGTTGAATCAGCCTTGCCTGCCTGGAATAAATCCCACTCTTTTGCTGACTTTAATCTATATCCTTTTATTATAATAAACCATAACCATGAGTATAACAGTTTTCTGAGTTCTATGAATCTTTTATCGACGTGTTGAACCTGAAGGTGGTCTTTGGGACCACCTGAACTTGAACCGTATAACAGTCTTGGCCAACAGGGAGCTCGGGAGCTAAAACGGCCAATGAAAGATGCCCTACATTTGCCATTAACCTACATACTCATAGGTTCCAGGAATTAGAATGTGGGTATCTTCGCAGGGATGCTCTCCACATAGCTCATGCAACTCACTTATGATCTTTTGTCCTGCTCATACTCAGTCCTGGGTGCATCATCTCCGTATTATAAGAGACAGTTTTTGGCCACACCCGACATTATGACTTGGTAAGTCTGATAGAACCCACCGCATAACAGGCAGTTCTGGATGCACAGTCACTTTATGTCCCACGGCAGGTGTTCCACCTTTGCCAGGACACTAGCATGCCGGTAGTTGTAATTAAAAAGGCACATATTTCCACTGCAAATGGCATGGCCTTGCTCCGGAATCACAGTCGACTACGCTGTGATTCTCCCACTTGGGCTTGCCATAAACTCCACGTGGCATCTTTTCCCATAGCTGATGCTTCTGATACCATTGAGTCAGTTAGGCTGCATGGTCCAAGCGGACACAGCACTGTTTCCGCCATAGCCAGGATCTTCTGCAGAAGCCTTCCTGATCTAAGCCTCACTTAAAGCTGGCAGCCTACTGTGTCACCCTGTAAATGGGCTAAAGCAGTATCCTTGAGTATAGAACATGCTACTTTCAGAAACCAAGGAGGCAGTCATTGCTACTTCACAGCGGGATATGCAAGATTCAGTAATTAATCTTTTACTCTGGATGAGGCGTCCTGGCATGTCCCCGATGTAGTGGACCTCTGATTCTTCATAGCGTTCATCTCTGTCATCTGAAACGTGTGTGTACCATGACCTCTAATGCGCTGACCACTTCTTGCTCATCTGGCCCGATTAGCATACCATCGATAGAGTGGGTTGAGGGTGGTCTGCAGGAAGTACAAACAGTCCAGACCTTTTCTATCTATATTACAACGAAA